GGGGGGGGGAGTTTGCATGTGTTCTGCCAAAAAAAAAGCTTTGCCTCTTAGTTTTTTGTTTTATTCATGTTTTTGTCTCAGTTATGCTTTAATCAGCAGCGCAGTGGCTTAATGGTTAGCATTTCTGCCTTGCAAGACTGGGGTCCTTGGTTCATGTATAGACAAGGATGCTGTCTGCATGGAGTTTGCATGTTCTCCCTTGCGTGGGACTCCTCTGACCACTCCAGTTTCCTCCCACACTCCAAACAAATGTTGATAGGATAATTGACCTGTCTAAATTGTATGCATGTGAGATAGGGACCTCAGATTGTAAACTTCTTAAGGGCAGGGACTGATGTGAATGTGCGCTCTGTACAGCACTGCGTAAATTGTCAGCGCAATACAAATACCGTACCTGCAATAATCATGGCATGCAGTACTTCCTCCCTCCACTAGAGGTCACAGGCGAGATCTAGGACAGGGGTGCCCATTAGGTCGATTTCAAAGCGAACACTGGTGGATCGCAATCGGCTCACTGACCTGTGTCCTGTCATCCCGCGGTGCTCGTGCGGCTGAATGTGTTATACACTGCAGACAGGAAGGGGCAGACACCTCTCTCCATGTGTAACGTCGGCCACACAAGCACCGCCGGAGGACAGGACACCGGCGCACGAGAAGAGACCTGGGAATCTACTGCAGTGGAGGTAAGAAAAGAAGAGACAGCAGAGAAAGTGAGAGAAAAGACAGCAGAGAGAGAGAAGAGACAGCCAAGAGAGAGGGCCGGTTCACAACACAAAGTCTGCGTTTTAGAGTGTTCGGCCTCTAGAACGCACTGGAACGCAAGCCGGCCGGCTGCCTGCATTCAGGGACGTGGGGTTGCATTGAAGTCAATGGCACCGCAGCCATGCCCTTCGCCCGCAGTGCGATCGCCCGCACCCACTAATGTGCCTGCGTTCCAGTCCAGTGCGATCTGCAAAAATAGTGCTTGCAGCATTTTTGCAGATCGCACTGGACCGGAAAGCAGGCCCGGGTGCGGGCGATCGCACTGCGGGCAGGGGGCGTGGCTGCAGTGCCATTGACTTCAATGTACCGCCATGCCCCGCTCCCATCCAAATTCCTTCTACAGGTGGAGGAATTAGCTCATACTGTAAAGATTCTCAGGCTCCAGTTATAATGGGATTTTCCCAACTACTCTCATCATGCGGCTAATGCTGTGTGCATGTTTCCCAAGACTGTAGATGTCACTGAAATATATATATTTGCCATGGATGATGTCTCCTTCAAAAAATGCTGGTCGCCTGGCTTTGATACTTTAATTCAGCGACTTGTAACAGCATGCAGATCAGATGTTCTTTGATTTCACTGGCTGCGTGCTTGTTCCGGATCAGTGAATCAGAAAAGCTTGGAATCCAGAAGCAGCCAGGCAACTATTATGTTCTCAAAGAGGTCAGCAGGACAAGACCCTGTATTGTTTTCTACACTGGTCTCCTTTTATTGCTTTACAAGAAGATTATCATTACAAACAATATAGAAATATATGATGAGTGATCACGTGATCTCTTTATTTCTTCCCACAGGCAAGGCAATAAGGCAAGCAAGGATGAGATTACAATATCTGCCTTCCTAACTGTACAACTGGACCGATCTATGAAGGCCGGAGCAACACATGTTAGTAATCATACAGCTTCAGTCACTTTGATTATCTATCTATCTATCTATCTATCTATCTATCTATCTATCTATCTATCCATCCACCTTTTATTGATTCCCTACACAATTTGCCTAAACGTTTGCTGTTACCTGGCCATCACACCTGTATGAGCTTGGAGGATACCCCATTCCTAAAACTATGGGCATTAATATGGAGGTGGCCCCTCTTTGCTGCTATAATATACTCCACCTTCTGCAAAGGCTTTCTATGTGATTTTGGAGGGTGCCTGTGGTAGTTTGTGACCTCGCAGTAAAAAGAACATGAGTGAGGTCCAGTAGTGATGTCCTGACTCACAAAGGATGTTCTAGTTTACCCAAAAGTTGCTAAGTAGGGTTGAGGTCAGGACTTTTGAGTCCCTCCCAAGGGCATCCCCAGGCAGGGTGTCACCCGGCAACCGCTCCGGGTGACACCCCGCTGGGACATCATCATGCATGCGAGTGATATAATGACATACGCACGTAATGAAATCACACGTGCTTACCTGCCGGCAGCCATCTTGGTTAGGGATGCACCGATACCGTTTTTTCAGTATCAAGTACCAATATTTGTTTTTCCGGTACTCGCCGATACCGAATACCGATATTAGAAGTCCCATTACGGAAGCCAGGCGGCATGAAATGACTTGCCACCTGACTTCCTGCTTAGCCGGGAAGCCGAGCGACGTGTAAAGATTCACCAGCCAGCTTCCCGATTAGCATGGAAGCCGTCTCCAGGCTCCCTCGTCACCAAGTGAAGAGAAAGCATGGAGCCGGCTTTCTGGCCAATCAGGAAGCTGGGCAGCATGTAATGACTCGCCGCCTGGCTTCCTGATACCGGAAGCTCAAGTATCGGGCTAGGCATCGGAGCATTTGGGGAGTACGAGTACTCGCCCCAAGTACTCGGCACTGATACTAGTATCTATATCGGTGCATCCCTAATCTTGGTGATGGACACCGGAAAAGAGGAGGGGACGTTTACCTGGCGGATAAATTATACAACCACCGGGTCCCCTAATCTCTAATGCAGCTGCCGGGCTCACGGTCCATGACCGAGTGCCTGACTTTTCTGAGCGGGTGACACCAAAATGACTGTGACCACAAGGTTGGAGACCCACAATTGTCTAAATGTCTTTGTATTATGCAGCATTAACAGGACCCTTCAATGGAAACACCTGAACCCAACCAGTCTCATGGCATACTTTTGGCTTCTTTCTTTCTCTTTTTTACTGATGAAGAGTGTAACAGGACCATCCAGTTCCAGAATTATCCATGTAATATGTTTACATATAACATAAACAACCATCACTACACTGCGGCATGCTCAGAGACTATTCATGGATCGCAGTGGCTCATGACGTCTCTCCATAACATTGTTTACAGTAAAGTGAAATGAATGAGCGACGTGAGTGGTGACAGCTGACAGTGCAGTATAATCATATTATAATTTGCTGTAACTGGGACGGACGGGTTATAGGTCAGTAGTATAATAAAGGGCTGCTATCTTAGACTAAGTCACATGAGTTATATTACGTGTTATATTACAGATGTTTGTTGTTTTATTTCATGATAATGACCCCATCAAAATAGTGAGTGGTTTCCTTTACAAGGCAGGCAATTCCCTACTGCCTTCTTCTGATTGACCTTTAATCCGTACCTACAAAACTGTAGGGTGAGAATTCCCGGTTCTAAGCCCCACCCCCTCAGAGAGAGGGGCCAATCACAGAACTGTGGACTGTAATAATAACAATGTAACAATAATAATAATAAAAATAATATTTCTATGGCACTTTTCTCTCTGGGGACTCAGCTGGCGTTGAGATTTTTGAAGAAAAGGATTTGTCCGGTGCTGCTAAAAGTCCGGGTGTACAGATGTGTCTTCAGTCTGCTTTTAAAAACACCCAGAGAGCGATTCCCAGACATTGGATGGTAATAGATGGTTGGCAGGAGTGTCCCGAGGCAGGGGTGTCCCGGGGCTGGGTGACACCCGGAGCGGAGATCAGGTGACACCCTGCCGTGACGTCATCGTGCATACGCGTGACGTTGCCGCGTGCATCCTATTGATGCCTGCTGGCGGCCATCTTGGTGATGGACATCGACAGAGAGAGGAGGGGATGTTCACCCGGCGGGATGAGGTATGCCGCCGTGTCCCCTCCTCTCTCCTAACACTGTCGGGCACTCGGTCCGTGAGCAAGTGCCCGACTTTTCATAGGGGTGACAACAAAATGACTGTCAGTCATTTTGGTGTCACCCCTCCAATGGTGGCACCCGGGTGCGGGCCACACACCCCTTGTGACGCCAATGATGGTTGGTAGTTCAAAATTGGGGTTGGTGCAAAGTAGAATCCACAAGTTACAAAAGATTTTGAAGTTCTGTCATCATGGGATGGGGGTGGCAAGTTATTTAGGGCTTGAAGGTGGAAGTAAGTAGGTCAGTTATAAAAATTATCCTCCATTTCATTGGAAGCCAGTGTAGGGAGGGAAGAATTGTTTGGTTCTTGTAATATTCCTGAGATGGAGGTTTACACTTTACAGATTGCAGTTTACTTTTATTCCTAAACACGGTGGCTGTATTTGTTTTCTTTTTGAGGCTTTCATTTCTTCATTTTCACCCGGTGATCAGCCCACAAATACGTTTCCTGCCTTGAGGTGGATCCATTCTATGGAGGGGCAATGGAGCCACCCTTGAACAGCAGTATTGTCACCCTGTGGGGAGGGCGGTGTAAGACGCACTAGCAGAGTTTGATGGTCCTAACTAACAAATTAAATCTGAACTCCAACTAACACTTTTTCAGCAGTTACAGCAATAGTTTTTATTTTGCTTTTGGCATAAAGGTTTTCCACAAATGACTAAAAACCGACCATTGTAAGCACCCCGTCAGTGTAAAATGGGTGGTCTCAGCTCTCCATCTGCCACGTTTACTGGACCGCTTGGCCTGTTAAAGGAAGGAAAAATAACTGACTTCCTGCTCAGATCACCAGGTGAAAATAAAGGAAAAAGCAAAACAAATGCAGCCACCACATCTGAGGATTGGTAAGCTGCAATGTATGACATTTTGCTTTTGGGTTTAGACTTTAGTTGGATGTGTTTGCTGTCAGTTAGATGTTAGTCTCTCCACCCTCCCGTTACAACCACTTCTGGCTTGTCCAGGTTCAGTTCCAGCCAGTTACAGTTCATCCGGTCTTGTATGTCACTAAGACACTTGTTGATATTGGTCACCAGGGTCACCAGGATCTGGTTTGAAAGACATTGGTCTGTCTTTTTTTTTCCTTCTTTTAGTAGACTATCAGCTCTTTATTGCTGTTGGTGTGTCTGTTTTAAATTCGCTATCACTTCCTGTCTGGTGAAGCTAGACACCATTCTAACAGAACCCTGGATAGTGGTAGGGTTGCCACCTTTTCTTCAAGCTAAACCCGAACACTCTAGCGACACGCGGACATTTTTGGGGGGAGAATGAGTCGTGGCTTATCATATGTAAATATCACAGTTGAGACTATTTTCAATGGGGGCCAGTAGCCCCTATCCTAATTTTGGTTGCCCCTGTCTGCCTGACATCTTGTGTTCTGCTTCCATGAAACCCGGGCACAGCATTCCAAACCCGAACTGTCCGGGTGAATCCAGGACAGGTGGCAACCCTAGATAGTGGTCTCCTGAATCATGAGAGCAAAGTAATCTAAACGTGGTCTAATGTCTTTCATGTGCACTGGGGCTAGGGTTGCCACCTGTAGGGGCAACCAACAGGGGCAACCAAAATTAACATAGGGGCTAAATAGCCTCAACTGTGATATTTACATATGAATGGGTGGAGCTATTTAGATATGATAAGCCACGACTCATTCTCCCCAAAAAAGTCCACGCGTCGCTAGAGTGTGTTTGGGTTTCACTTGAAGAAAAGGTGGCAACCCTAACTGGGGCCCTCTTTTTTGAAATAGCCTATCTAGGGTTAAATTGAAGGGTTCAGTATCTGTACCCTAAAGGCACATGGAGATTTGCTATTTACCTTGTTGGAGCGAGCAAACAAATGTTCAGGCCATGCACTGCCGTGGTTTTTCTTTAATCCCAATAAACTTTCTAAGTACCACTGCATGGCTCTTCTTACATCATTGCTCTATGATTAGGCTCCGATTGGGGGTGAAATGTGTCAGTGAAGTCCTCTGCGGTGGGAGTAACGATGTAAGGGAAACCATACAGCGGTTCTAATAAAGTTCAATTAAATTGAAGAAAAAAAAACCACACACACTGGACATTCGTTTTTCATAGCAGGGAGGAAGTGGATCCCATATCCAGCCATATGTGGCCAATGTAGGGTTGCCACATGTCTAGGATTGACCCGGACAGTCCTGGTTTAGAAGGCTGTGTCCAAGTTGCACAGCCCACCCGCGAGCCCCGCACAGGCTACTTGAGACTCTAGAGTCATCAGGACAAGAACCCAGAGCAACACAGAGTATGTAACTTCATATAATTTTGTATTGCTATATTAAGTATTGCTGGGATTTGTAGTCCCCTATAGCCAGTCTCCTTACTTTCTCCCCTGGCTGTCTCTCCTCGCTTTCTCCTATGTCACCAGGACAGAAAGAGAGGAGATTTGCTCCCATCCCCCCCCCCCCCCCCCAAAAAAAAAAATAATAATTGCTGAGCGCGTCTCTAGAGTGTTCAGGTTTCACTTGAAGAAAAGGTGGCAACCCTTGGCCTATGGGTGCATGAAAGTTGCCTTGAGTGGTACACAACATGGATAAGATTATATTTATTGGAGTTAGGCATGGCAGTATTTTCCACAGTCTCACATAGAGTTTGCAATGATGCTGACATAGCCAACGAACCGAAATTCAATTGGCTGGTGTTCTCAGAAATGGGGCCCTTTGTATTTTAGACTTCTTTAAATAAAAAAAACCCCAAAAACTAACACTTACGTCATGATCCAAGTCTCACCACACTGGAATGCATGACATTGCTGTACCGCTCATTTCGGTGTGGGCGATCAAAACAGAATTCATGGTAGGTGCGATTGCGTGGCACAGTGCGTTAATCGTGTGTACCAGTGAGAACGGGCTCTCAAAAACACTGACATACATACACAATCTCACACACTCAGACATCCTCACACACACACATACACACTCCTAACATTTTTTTATTTTTTTTGTACTTTTTTATTTTTTTAAGATCCACTCTGTCTCCCTACCTTACGTGAAATGGAGTGGATCCTCAGCCTGGGGTCCAGTGTGGGCTGCTGTACTGTAACGCCATCCATATGTGCATAGCTGGTACAGCTCCCTTGCATGCCCTGTAGAGGTTGCAGGAGCCAGAATGTGACATCACTCCGTTCCAGGCACCTCTACAGGACAGGTGAGGGAGCTGTAAGCAATGCATGTATGAATGGAGCTCCCCGCGGCCATTCCCCCTTCACATCCCACCCCACCCCAAGCTTGGCACACTTGGCACCGGGCAGCATATTTTGAATGGCTGCTTGGCGTGAGAACTGACAGTGCTGCGCTAGGGGGAGGCTGAGGAGCCTCTCACCTAGAAAGATAGAAGGCATGCAGTGACCCACTAAACACGGGGTTGCGACCCACTCTTGGGTCACGACCCACCAGTTGAGAACCAAGGGTCTAGCAGAATGCCCGCTGATCTCTGCAAACTGGTCCAATATGGATCAAAACTTCATCTGAATGGACTGGTGTCCCTCTATGTGAAATATTGTCTGGTTAGCATTGGTTCATTCCACTTGTTTCCTGGAAGTGATTGATGTAACGGGAACCTTGCGGTGAAAAAACTCCAAAAAATAGATTAAAATGTTACATTTTTATCTCTCATCTCCAGACACGAGTTGTCCAAGGAAAGGAGCCTCCTCATTTGTTGGCTATATTCAAAGAAAAACCCCTCATCGTATACAAAGATGGAAGCTCAAGGAAAGGCAGCCAAGCCCCACCTCCTGCGGTACGATTGTTTCAAGTGCGGAAGAATTTGGGATCCATTACAAGGATCAATGAGGTAATAAAATATATTTTGCTGCATTGGAAACAGTATTAGGGCCTGAGTGTCGACAGGCTTTGGGCTTGTGTTGATGGCATCGGTCTGACATCAGTTTTAGATGCTTCTGAGATCATATAGAATTCATTGATAGGTGCATCTGACCGGCAGTTCTTCTGACCTGCGTCAAGATATTTTTGCATTCCCATTGACTCGCTTGAAGCAAACAAAAGCACATTGACAAAAATGATCAGAACCCGACATGTGAGTGCAATTCGTTTCATTCCGGACACATCCGAATTTCCGAATCCCAATGCATTCGAATGTGTCCGAATCCGAATTTCCGTTTCCGAATTTCAGATCCCATCCGAATTTCGTTCAAAAACGAAACTGAATCGGACATGTGACTGTTCTGGCCAATCAGATGTGTCTTTTGGTTTAATGCATCCGAATGGGTCTGACACACAAATTTTCGTTACGGCAACATGGGAGCCATATACAGTATATACATATAATACTAAAGCTGAGGCTCCCAGACCCAAATGGCATTTGGGATCCGAATTTCCGAACTGCATTTGGGAGCTCTCGAATGCCATTCAGGTCTGGGAGCCTCAGCTTTAGTAATATATGTATGTGGCTCCCAGACTCATATGCAATTACACACAGCACCTCTCCCTCCTGGGAGCAGGTCTCTGCATGGGGTGCATGACAGATGGATGTGCATGCCAGTTTGAATGAGCCCTTAGAGGTCTGTTCCTGTGTCACTCACGTAGGCCAAAACAACAGGTTGACTTTCTGTTTTGCAGGTTGATGCCGATGCCAGCTCTCTCAATGCCAATGATGCCTTCGTCCTGAAACAACAAAGCAACTCTGCCATCATGTGGATTGGAAAGGGTGCAAACGAGGAAGAGATAAAGGGAGCCGAATATCTGGTGTCATTTCTTAAGTGTAGCAGCACAAAAGTGTCAGAAGGCAAGGAGCCAGGTCAGTGCAAATTATAAGTCACATGAAGTTTATTCTCCTTTATGTTTCTGGTTTTACAGGTTCCTCTCCTTCCATTCCTTCCTCATCAACATAATAATGTAAAATTAATTCTTGCTGTCTTTATTACATAGGTTTTGGGCTATACTCGTCGTATAAGACGAGTCTAGCCCAAAATAATGTTTAAATACACCCACTAACCTCCATGGCGGTATTCCCGAGTGTGGCTCGGGGTTAGTTTTCAGTACCATAAGCGGTAATCCCGAGCCACACTCGGGATTACAGTCTCTTACCCTGTCCACGATCCCCGCTGTGTCCTCTGTCTTCCAGGGAAAATACATTTATTAGTACAGCACGGGCAGAGAACACAGGAAGTTCTCAGCTGGCAGGATCAACATGTATTTGTGTTGCACTTATCAACTTTCAATTGTATAATTAACAGACAGAAAGAGACCAAATAAGAGAAGTTCATTGTTAGGGTTTACCTACCCTTCGAAGGCCAATGGAAAGCTTCCAGAATCGGCACACACGTGTGGTCAGATTTACAGCTATTGATTGCTAATAGAACCTTAGGAACCTTAAAGAAGAACTCCAGGTATGCAAAAAGTTATCCCTTGCAGTGGAGCTACCCCAGGAACTGACTGGCAACTTTTAGCCCAGGGGGCAAGTACAAATTCATTGATAGGTGCATCTGACCGGCAGTTCTTCTGACCTGCGTCAAGATATTTTTGCATTCCCATTGACTCGCTTGAAGCAAACAAAAGCACATTGACAAAAATGATCAGAACCCGACATGTGAGTGCAATTCGTTTCATTCCGGACACATCCGAATTTCCGAATCCCAATGCATTCGAATGTGTCCGAATCCGAATTTCCGTTTCCGAATTTCAGATCCCATCCGAATTTCGTTCAAAAACGAAACTGAATCGGACATGTGACTGTTCTGGCCAATCAGATGTGTCTTTTGGTTTAATGCATCCGAATGGGTCTGACACACAAATTTTCGTTACGGCAACATGGGAGCCATATACAGTATATACATATAATACTAAAGCTGAGGCTCCCAGACCCAAATGGCATTTGGGATCCGAATTTCCGAACTGCATTTGGGAGCTCTCGAATGCCATTCAGGTCTGGGAGCCTCAGCTTTAGTAATATATGTATGTGGCTCCCAGACTCATATGCAATTACACACAGCACCTCTCCCTCCTGGGAGCAGGTCTCTGCATGGGGTGCATGACAGATGGATGTGCATGCCAGTTTGAATGAGCCCTTAGAGGTCTGTTCCTGTGTCACTCACGTAGGCCAAAACAACAGGTTGACTTTCTGTTTTGCAGGTTGATGCCGATGCCAGCTCTCTCAATGCCAATGATGCCTTCGTCCTGAAACAACAAAGCAACTCTGCCATCATGTGGATTGGAAAGGGTGCAAACGAGGAAGAGATAAAGGGAGCCGAATATCTGGTGTCATTTCTTAAGTGTAGCAGCACAAAAGTGTCAGAAGGCAAGGAGCCAGGTCAGTGCAAATTATAAGTCACATGAAGTTTATTCTCCTTTATGTTTCTGGTTTTACAGGTTCCTCTCCTTCCATTCCTTCCTCATCAACATAATAATGTAAAATTAATTCTTGCTGTCTTTATTACATAGGTTTTGGGCTATACTCGTCGTATAAGACGAGTCTAGCCCAAAATAATGTTTAAATACACCCACTAACCTCCATGGCGGTATTCCCGAGTGTGGCTCGGGGTTAGTTTTCAGTACCATAAGCGGTAATCCCGAGCCACACTCGGGATTACAGTCTCTTACCCTGTCCACGATCCCCGCTGTGTCCTCTGTCTTCCAGGGAAAATACATTTATTAGTACAGCACGGGCAGAGAACACAGGAAGTTCTCAGCTGGCAGGATCAACATGTATTTGTGTTGCACTTATCAACTTTCAATTGTATAATTAACAGACAGAAAGAGACCAAATAAGAGAAGTTCATTGTTAGGGTTTACCTACCCTTCGAAGGCCAATGGAAAGCTTCCAGAATCGGCACACACGTGTGGTCAGATTTACAGCTATTGATTGCTAATAGAACCTTAGGAACCTTAAAGAAGAACTCCAGGTATGCAAAAAGTTATCCCTTGCAGTGGAGCTACCCCAGGAACTGACTGGCAACTTTTAGCCCAGGGGGCAAGTACAACCCAGAGGCCCATGGTGCAGCAACTTGGCCCCCCTCCCGCTCTGCTTCTTCCCCACTTCTGTCTGCCACTTTTGCCATCCATGTAACGGTAGTGTTGATGGTCGGGTGATGTGAGGACTCCTAGTAAGTCCATGAAAGGGGTGACTGGCTGGGGGATGGTGCTCTCCTCCACTGTGCTCCCTACATGGTTCTGACCTTACTCCGCTCCATGTCCACTACTTAGGCACTCTCACCCAGTGTGTGAGCTGTGGGAGGTTAGTGGGAGGCGCCGGACAGTGTCAAAAGCTACCCCAACACCGCAAGGGTTACCTGCTTGTTTTTCTATAGGGGCTGGGAAAAAAAGACCGATCCTCAGTCCTGTGGTGGTGACCGCTTACCTCTGTCCCCTTCCACTCTGGCTTTGGTATGTCCCTGGGCGTCCTCACATTTAATACGGGTAAATGGACTGCTTTAGGCATGATGACGTCAACAGGGTTTAGACACAGGGAAGAAGAAAGAAGAGACTGGTTTAGCAGCCAGGTGTGATCAAAGATCAGGTGAGTATATATACAGTATATATTTTTAGTTGAGTCTCGAAACACAAACAAGCAGTTAACCTTTGCGGTGCCTGGTAGCTCCACTGCAAGGGTTGACTTTTTAAATTCGTGGAGTTCCTCTTTAAAGCCCCTGCCTTTAGCCAAGTTGCTGAACTGAACATGCCCCTCGGTATGTGTTCCATATGAAGACTGTATGGTTTGTTCTTGCTCCCAACAGATGCCTTCTGGAAAATTCTGGGGGGTAAAAAGGACTATCAGACGTCTCCTCTCCTGGAAACGCAGCTTGATGATCATCCGCCAAAACTTTTTGGCTGCTCCAATAAAACCGGGCGCTTCCTGGTAAGTCCAATCTTCCTGTCAAATCATACTCAATTTTTTAACCAGTTCTTACATTGTTGCCCAGCAACAGAGGATACAATCTGTAGCAGCAGATAACATCACAGGAGACACAAACCCTTGTTTTCTGTACCCACAACTTTCATTTCTAAAGGTCATTCATGCCTAGATGTTCATGCCAAATTTTGCATGCGTTGGACAGTAACTCTATGACTAATGCAAAGGTCCACAAATATCTGTTGCTCCTGTCAGTAAAATCCACCAGCTTCCTGTGATGAGGTGGCAATGATGCTGCACTGCTCCTGAATTCAGAGCAGAGTTGCCACTGTCATGTAGGCTATGTCTGCTTGCACTACAGTAGGAGGAGAACATGTTGCAAGGGACGTGGCTATCAGCATTGTTACTGCTGATTCACAAGCCTGTAGCTTGTCAATCAGCACCTGGCCTCACCTAGCCCCGCCTACTGCTTTCTGGATTGACAGCACTACATTTGTTGCTGAAACCCTCCTACTGTGAGCTGCAGTTTCTGGGAGGAGGAGCGTATGAGACACAAATGAAGGAGGATTTGGGCTCAGTCAGGGCAGGTAATGTAAGTTTTTTGTTTGCTTTATGAAGCTTGTGCATCATATAGGTCCTGGATTAGTATTTGTCAAGCCTCTCATACAAATGCCTTTAGTTTTATTTTAACAAAAACCCTGCTCTGTATTTTAATTTTTTTAATAGATAATGTGGAAAAATTTAAAACAAAAAAATTCTATTAATTTAATTTTTTTTAATACTGTTATTTATTAATACTGTTATTGTGCTGGCCACTCAAATTCCCACAAGAATGCTCTCCAGACAATTGCAGGAGCGCATTGTTGCATGATTCGGATCATCCAGCTCTCTGGGGAGGCAGCATTGAGGCACTGTGACATCACTCGCACTTCCTGTAACAGTTGGAAACCAGGCCAATGGGTTTTTTTTTCAAACTTTATTAACAGAATTTAAACTCTTAGTCTTCCAAATTCTACAGAAGTTAAGGGACTAGTTTGTGTTCCTCTAAGATTGCTTATTACATAACAAAACTATGTTTACTACATAACAAACTATACAGTATGTTAAGACTTTCCCTTCCAAGTTCTCCAAAAATTGGTGGGTCATCCTATCTTCTCAGGTCACTGCTTCCATTGTGTCAGGCTTAGACTCAAAGTAATTTCTCATCTTCACAAGTTCTACCGTTGATGGACCAGTTAGTGTTTCCCTAAGATTGCTTTAGATAAATACCTATGCAGTATGTTAATTCTTCCCCTTCCAAGTTCTCCAGAATTTGATGGGTCATCATATTTTCTCAGGTCACTGCTTCCATTGTGTCAGGCCTAAACTCAAAGTCACTTCTTATCTTTACAAGTTCTACGGAAGTTGATGGACCAGTTTGGGTTTCCCTAAGAGTGCTTTAGATAAATACCTATGCAGTATGTTCAAACTTCCCCTTCCAAGTTCTACCGAAGTTGATGGACTAGTTGGTGTTTCCCTAAGATTGCTTTAGATAAATAAATACCTATGCAGTATGTTAAAACTTCCCCTTCCAAGTTCTCCAGAAGTTGATGGGTCATCATATTTTCTCAGGTCACTGCTTCCATTGTGTCAGGCCTAAACCCAAAGTCACTTCTTATCTTTACAGGTTCTACAAAAGTTTAGATAAAAAGATACCACTATTGTGTGTAGGAATACACATCAAACGATGTGGTTGATAACCTATATGCATACATGTAAAAATGCCACCTCTGTAAGAAACAGTGAGGTGGAAAAATAAGTTATACTCCAACCATAATTAGATGATTTATCAGCCAAATGGCTTACTTTATTTAATTAGAAAAATATGATTTATACATTTAAGAGAGTATGAACACAGCAGACACCGTGACACGAACCTTGAATTAAAATTGGCAACGTTGTCAATGCATCACCAGGGCCGGTGCAAGGCGAAAGAGCATTTTTGCACCCCCATCCCCCCACACACTTTTTTAATTTTTTTAATTTTTATTTATTTCTTTACTTTTTAAAATTTGTATTTATCTGATTCTCTTTCACTTTTTTATTTGTTATAATTTTTTTCTAATTATTTATTAACTTCCTTATTTTTTTAATCTTAGTATCTTTTACTTTTTATCATTTTAATTATTATTTTTTACTTATTTTTTCATAAATGTTTATTTTATAATTTTTTATCAATTTTTATTCATTTTTTTATTTCTTTATTTTTCACAGGCAGACCAAACACTTGACCACGTGACCACACAGGACTGATATACAGTTTTAATATGCCAACCAGAATGATACAAACAGAAACAAGTCTAGCAACCAACTACATCTAAACAACACCACATGCAAGAAGAAACAGGCAAGCACACCCAGGGAGCAAAGCAAAACACCAGGGGAACTAAGGGACGAAAGGTCAGGGTACAAGGAGCTAACAGCGCGCGTGGATCCTAACACGCGCGCTGGCGCCATCAAGCAGTTGCTTGACCTGCCTATATGGTAGCGCCGGGCCTGTGCATCACTCTATTAAAATCACTGAAACAACACCATATCCACGACCCTTTCTATTTTGAATATTGTAACCTAACGCTAATAAACGCTAATATCGCTGTAATGAATTGCAGAGTCCACCGTGAGGTGAGGTGAAACACATTCCAGTTTGTGTTTCCCTGTGATTGCTTATTAGATAAAGTGCCTATGCAGTGTGTTAAATCTTTCCTTTCCAAGTTCTCCAGAAGTTGATGGGTCATCATGTGTTTTCTGGTGACCACTTCCTTTATGTCATGGCAAAACTGAACGTGACCTCTTATCTTTACAATTTCAGACTTTAATGGGCCAGATTGTGTTTTTCTCTGATTACTTACTACACAGTGGCCACATGCAATATAAAAACACAAGAACTGGCCATGCGCTGGTAGACTTTTACATACAAATTTTCATACGAAAAATCCTGTCAGAGCCTTCAACGATGCCATGAGAGACTTGACAAATGCCTTTGGAAATTCCATTTTAACTTAACATTCAATGGGCAGCACAGTGGTGTGATTTTTAGCGCGTCTGCCTTGCAGCACTAGAGGTCCCTAGTTCAAATCCTGACCAGATCACTATCTGCAAGGAGTTTGCTTGTTCTCAGTGGGATGGTAGCGCCACTGCAAGGGTCTGGTTTTGCCTGCAGATCTTCGTTAACTGTTTATCACATCTTACATAATCATATTAATCAATAACTATGTACGATGTGATTTATGCATAATAAAAAAAAAAATCATTTTAAGAATGAAAAATGTCATTTCCCTCGTGTTTTTTCATTACTTTTGGTGCATTTTATTGTTATTTAAGGTTTTTTAGGCAATAGGAAAAAACAAAAGAGGCAGCTCACTACTTTTAGTTTTTTTTTTCCTTACTAAACTACGACTATGAATATTATACACCAAAATATAAGGAAACAAAATATATTGTGCAATGCATCTTTATATTGTTCAAGTTGCTTTTTTTGAGCACATTTTGTTTTGTTCACGTAACAGATTTTACATGTACAAACAATAGGCAGGTGATTAGCAGATCAAGCAGGGACCGGCTGATCACAATGCATATTATTTATATATTAAAAGGAAAGTCTTGTACTTTCTATGTTGGCTTCAATGCATCTTGCCATATTGTAAATTTTTCTGTTAAATATTGGACATTTTAGTGAAGCAAAACCGTTAATTTCACTCAATCCTCATAATTACTGACAGAGAGAGTGTCAGAAATGTCCATATTGTGTGACCCACTGGAGCTACATTAGGTCACTTTCAGAGTGAATGTTGATGAAGTTGTTTTACTCACATTTGTAATCTGTTATGTGATGTAGGTTGAAGAGGTGCCAGGAGAATTTACACAAGAAGATCTGGCAGAAGATGATGTGATGATGCTGGATACCTGGGAACAGGTAAATATGAGCAATGGAGTTTGCTCTGGTGAGGTGTAGAATAGCTTTCTACACCATTGCTGGCCAAATGCTACATGATGAGATGACATGACGAGAGTTGACATGGTGAAAAGGGCAGGTCTAGGTATAGCTAGCTGAGTCCTGTGTCATCCTGTTATCTTTGGCATGGAGATATAGAAGATTTAAATGCAATCAGACTTGTATTGATCAAGTCCATGGCTACCAATGAAGCATGGGGAGCAAGTTGGGCAGAAGGTAGAGCAGACTTCCTCTCTGGTCTATCTAAATGCCAACATGAGTTTAAAATGAATACCAATCACTGTACTGGTTATATTGCTGACACAAAGTGGATAGAATCTTCAAGTAAAGTCCATGGCTAGTTGGCTACCATTGAAAAGTGGGGAGCAAGCTGCGGAGAAGGTAGAGCAGACCTCTTCTCTGATCCATCTAGAGGCCTACATGAGTTTAAAATGAATACCAATCCCTGTACTTGTTATATCGCTGACACAAAGTGCTTAAAATCTTAACATAAACGAGATGAGAACATCACAAAGTTTCCAGAACCAACTTATTCATATGACAGCAACAATGATTGGAGCTGCTTATGCGCTTATTACTCTTTATTTCTGAGGATCTCTTTGCTTGTTCAAACTTTCCTCAGCTCCAAGTATTTAGCCCTGGAAAATGGGGCCAACATCTACCCTCCTGAAACAAGCTATGCATGGCTATGCATGAGCACTTTGCTAATTAATAAATTGTTTCTGGAAACCTTGTGGCACTATTATCAGGTTTTCTTGAAGATTCTACCTCAAGGATCTAGTAGTTAGTCAAAGTACGCCAGAGAGTTGCCTGTGCACCTAAAGCATCTCCAGACCTATTCTGGACATCTATTGACGTCAGGGTTAAGCACCACACCTACCAGTGTCTGTTCAATGTGGGCAGACAGAAGCAAAGGGTGGACAGGGTGGGCAGAAGGTGGACACAGTGGGACAGAAGGTGGTATGGAGAAAGTGGGTCAATATGGAGCAACAGAATGGACAGGGAGACTTGGACATTATTGGGGCAGTTTATTTGGCAAAGTAACGGGTATAGCATTGCAAAACAATCACTTTTAAGCTTATAGCCCCAGCAAGGACAACCTTGTCCCTGGTTCAATCATTTTTCCTTCTTCCACCTCTATATCTGTAAACATTAAGTCAAGGCAACTGGACTTGCTGTATTTTTCTTGAAGACATTTCACTGGTCATCCAACCAGCTTTCTCAATTCAGAATGACTTGTACAGCATTGTATGTGGCAGACAATAGAAGTTTCACCCCACCCACCTCTGGAGGAATGAGAACCTTCATAGACATATTCTTCCACCTCTATTTCATAAATGTAAGCCCTGAGTTATGTTTACGATCTAGAAAAGGAGTTACTGTATTTCCCACAAGCTTGTTATACAATGTGAGGGATTTGAGTGTATATTGTACTACTGATGAGATGTTCCAGGCCCCCTGCTTACATCTTTTATTGGCCCCTAGACAGCTACATCCCTGAAATGGTCTGCTACTCTATATTCTTAGGAATTCTTCTGAGACAAGCAAGACTGGGATGGAATTTTCCCTTTTGGGATCGCTGAGCAGTATTTTCCTAAACCCAGTAAAGGTTCAAGTCACTTCCATCTCATAACCCATCTTTATTTGTATTCTTTCAGATATTCCTGTGGACTGGAGAGGAATCGAATGAGGTTGAGAAAAAGGAATCATCGGCAGCAGGTATATGACTATATTTTGGTAATGTTTAGCTTTGTATACATAGGTCATAGGTTGCTTGAAAGCTCTTATAGCTCTGTGGACATTTAAATAGATCCCAGGGCCGGTAGGCTGTGTCTGCTTTGTGTGTGTGATAACTTCAATTTCAATTGTGACAGGAGCGTTCCTTTAAAGGTCATTGCACTCAAAATTCATATTGCAGTTGTTGGTAATTAATGATTAATTTAATCTCAACTCCAAACAAACAGCTAAATACATAGATGAAATACATACAAGGGATCTGCTTTACCTGCCAAATACTTTGTATGTCTGCACATCCAGTTCTTCGATTTACACAGCTCTGATAGAGAACACAGCCCTGTCTGGCAGGACATGAGACCTGCTGCAGTTAAGACACACTTTCAAGTCTTATCCCTACCCTAGTTTGTGTCTAGACAGTGAAAGGAGGAGCAGCAGACTGATAAGCTCATGTATAAGTCTCTCTGCTCTCTCCTCTTATTAGCATGATCCTTGCACTGCACCATGCCTCACTGACTCCTGGTTCTGTATCTGACTCCCCCAGACCCAGCTCTTCTGTACATGGATTACAAGAGGCTGATACCCATTTAAATTCAGATGTGTACATTGCTTGCATTTAAAAAATACATTTAACACAGAGCAGCATTCATTTGTAATGTTTATTGCCTGGAATTCAGCTCTAATGAGGACCTACACCCTACTTTTCAATTCAGAACCCACTCCCCTCCCACCACCAACAATACTCACTACTATCACCATTGTGAATTAATATTAACGCCACTTAACATTTATCACGTTTGCGCTCCATCTGGGTTCTGGTGGGTAAGTGGTTCCCAATGTCAACTATAGCACAGGTTTCAGTCTGTGTAAAGTAGACATAAAGTAGACAGTAGCCTCCTGAGCAGCCAATCAGTGTATCACCTTGTGCTGTGACCAGGAAGCCTCAGCCTACCAGTACATGGACAAAGTCCTTATCTGCAAAACAATAACTGCATCAGGCGGGGTAATATTCTCTGCCAGAAATAAGTAAGGGGGGTTAGGGGTGTTGATAAATTCTAAGCTTACTTTTGGTCCTCTTAAGCCACCCAGGTGTCTTTGTTATATCTCTTGATTACATTTCTGAACCTGAGCTCACATAATAGGACAACTACTGCTGCCATTACGGGGTTGGGGAGCTACTCTCTGTGTTGGATATTTCATTCTTCCTACATTATGAAGAATGCAGCGAGAGGAGCAAGAAAACCCAAAAGTAGACTGGAATGCTGGAACTTTATGGGGAGCTATTGAGACACTAAGAGGGTTATTCACAAAAGGGTGAAGAGTTTGGAGAAGGCGGGAGAAGTGAACAATCTAGGCCAACATAGCTGAACAGGAAAATGAGCTGAATTGGAGAATTTTTCCAAATCAGCTATGTTGTCGTAGATTGGTCACCTCTCCTGACTTCTCCAAACTCTTCACCCTTTTGTGAATAGACCTGTAAATATTGTTAGAGAAGGAGTGATAGTAGATACTGACCATTAATAAATGTGGACAGTCAGCCTCTATAAAACTATTTGCTATGTTAATTACCATCTATTCACAGCCAAAAGATATCTGGAAAGCGACCCATCCGGAAGAGACAAGAACATCCCAATCACCGTTGTGAAACAAGGATTTGAACCTCCAACGTTTACCGGCTGGTTTCTGGCCTGGGATCCCGACAAATGGCAGAAGTGACACAACCAATGGACATTAGTAAGAAACCTACAGCCAAAACAATTATGTGAAATGCTATCTCATTGCTTGGTTGATTTATTGCAGTCATTGGGAATATCTTTCAAGGTCAAGACCAGTCCAATTTTATTTTGCCAAGCTCTAGAGCCAAAGGTGGCTGCATTCACATACTAGTAGTATATGTCACCTCATGTGTTATGAATAAGTGTTTTCTATCTGGTATGAAATATTAAAGTGGAACAAGACTAAAGCTCACGTTACAAATGTTATTAAATCTTTAATCAAACATAGCAATGTTGTTTTCTGTCGTGGTATCATTTACATTCTGCGTACGAGTGCATGGCCGGTGTATGCTACATTTGAGGCATGCCTCTGGTTATAACTGTCACAGTTGCTAATGTGCTTATGTAAACTTATTTCCAAAATGCTGGTCACCTGTACAAAATTATAGCAGCTGTGGATCTAAACACAAGACTATGGGAATACAAAACCGCTTAAAGCAGGTCAAATATAGATAAGAAAGAGGTCAAATGCACGTCAAATGCACCTGTTAATTATATCTGAATGATCTCAGAAGCAGTGGCGTCACAAAGGGGGGTGCGGCCCGCACCCGGGTGACACCATTGAAGGGGATGCCGCTGCTCAGAAGGATCTCAAAATGATGTCAAACTGATGCCATCAACACAAGTCCAAAGCCCCATCACAGGCCCTTACAGTGTGCTACAGTATAACACCCAGTCTTGATTACCATATCCAGGTATTCTAGTCATAGGCGTCTCTACAGGGGGAAAAGGGGGGGCAATTGCCCCCCCCTAGCTTATGCCTTGCCCCCCCCCCGTGTGCCCCCCCGCTGATTCCCCTTTAAAACGGCCGCTGCCGTACAGCTTCACTGTACGGCAGCGGTCTCTTGCCAGCTGACAAGTAGCCCTGTGATTTCTAGTTACGCCCCTGTTTAGTTATTTTCAGTGGTATGATTTAGTGGTGAAAATTATTAGTGCCCCCCCATTTTGACTGTGGTATCTTATGTGCCCCCCCTATATATTGTTCCTAGAGTCGCCACTGATTCTAGTTAAGGATGAGGTTTAGGTTCACCAAAACCATGGGTTTGAGGTGAATCCTGCAGGTTTCAAGATTCACAGTTTCAGCAAATGTTTGTGCCGGTTTGCCCAGAAAACTTTTTTTTTAAGCCATAATGCACTTTATGACCTTAGAGCTACAGTATACAACCAGGCTTAGAAGGACCAAGTAGGGGCCTTTTGGTTAAGCCAGCCCATTCACTATAAAAGGCCAGCTCTAAAGAAGGGGGTGTGTCCCCGAAAATGCCTTCAGCTGTGTCAGCTTGTTTCTGCTGGTGCAAGCAGAGCTTTTGAATTGCCTCTCTGACTCTTTGACTTCCCCACTTGGAAAGTCTTCTAGAAATGTATGTCTAATAGGTTTTTAACCTGCCTCCATTGTGAGTACAATCATTTGCACATTTCTCTTTGCAAAATAAAAATGATTATTTGCACCAGGAAAGCCCCCCCAGTGTTTTTGTTTTTTATGTCCATCAAATGTATGTGCAGGTTTGCCCAGAAAACTTTTTTAAGCCATAATGCACTGCATGACCTTAGAGCTATGGCAAGCTGGCTTAGAAGGACCAAGAAGGGGCCCTTTGGTTAAGCTAGCCCCTTCACTATAAAAGGTGGGGGATGGAGTAGCCATAGTGTCATTAAAATTGAATTTATTGTAGGGAAAGCTGACAAACTGCATTGGGAGAGATTAGGGCCAGTTTAATTAGGCAACGGTTCTTTAATTCTGATTACTAGCTCTTTGGGCATTATTAGGGCTCATTCACAGCAGCCTCTAAGGTCCACCTGTGAATTCATGTGGCAAGATCTGCGGCAGGAATCGCAGGTTCCATACAGCTGCAGTAGTTTAGCCAGTACAAAGCAGTGACAGGCTAACAGTGCCCGTAGCTGTCCACCTGTTTTCGGAAGTAATTACACATGGAACGATTATCTCCGGTTAGAGACAGATGATCACCTGTGGACACAAGCTGCTTCTTAACCACCTTACATTATATCACCCACATTCATTACCCTTCATCCCCATAGATAAAATAAAAGTCAGGCATACACTAGTTAGGCCTATTGTACTTGATTAGAACTGTACAGCTACTTACCAATTTTAAACAGCTGTATCTTCTGAAGTATCTTATTTCGTGCAGTAAATGCTTTGCTCTTTGTCTCTAGTAAATTTGGGCCTAGCCTTTCTCTCCTGGGATTCAAACCAGGAAGCCCTCAGTGCTGCAAGGCAGAAGCACTAACCACTACACCACTTAGCTGCCGATTAAAAAAAATATTAGTCCAAAATTGGTCTTTAAAGTGACACTGTCCGCACAGGATCACTTGTATACAATAAGACACAGGGTCACTTGTATACAATAACTTCACTGCTCTCCAGCACTGCTTGTATTCCACAATTTCAAGTGTGTGTGGATACCATGCTCCCTCCATTGCACGCTGTGGTTCCACCCATGAGCTCCTACTTAATTATAGGACATGTGGGAAAGAAGGTGGAGGAACCACAGCGTGCACCGGGGAAACACATACTCGACTTGCAACAACGTTTCAACACTCGGGCTGCCAGAAAGATAAGCAGGCCTGTAGCGAGAGCAAGGCAACTGAGGCTCTCGCCTCAGGCGCAGGTGCTGGGGGGGGCGCAGCCATCAGGGAGAAGTGTGACAACACAGCTCTGCACAGAGGATTGTACATATCCCGAGCGGTGAGGAGAGAGAGAGAGCTGCTCAGCCAGGATCTGACAGCTGGCGGCTCTCTCTCTCCTCACCGCCCAACCATGCTGCTGTGACAGCGTCTCCCTCCTCCGCAGTGTCTAACTATGTGTCCCCAGTTATGAATAAACAGGAAGTGCTTTTCATCACTTCCTGTTTATTCATGATTTTCTGAATGTGTAGTAGCACTCTGTACAGAGGCTTCTCCCCATTCAGAAACTGGATTATAGTGAATATTTTCTGAATGAATGGGAAGCATCTGTACTTTCCATTCATTTAGAGCAGTCTGCAGAATCAATTTCTTTTTCTATTTTAAAAGGGAAATGTCAGGAGGCTGTTTAAACCCCTAAATTTCCCCAAAGCCCCCCCCAACGGTAAAAAAAAATATTACAATGAAAAAAAATAATAATAAAAAATAAATTAAAAAAAACATCTTGGGGGGGGGGCGCGTGGCATCACATGACGCTGCGCGTGCACGGCGCTGGGTGACGTCACACACCTGTTGAGGGGGAGTACATTTTTTTGTTTTTGCCTCGGGCGCAAATGGAGCTAGCTACGGCTCTGAAGATAAGTATATTGTACCTTCTTTTACAGGTAATTATACAATTGACCCTGTGGTAACGGTCTTTTTAAAGGCTCCCAATTATAATAACTTGGGAAATAACGTTTTTATTTGTCATCAATTTAAAATCAATAGAATATAAACCAGAACTCCCTTTTAATATATTAGAGCCAGACCAGCAAAGGACGCCATGTGTAAATATTACAGCATGTTTATAGTGATACACGGAGATTATTACACTGTAACCAATACTTATCTGGAATATTGATAGTACAACATAACAGATGGTAAAAGGAGAGTCATTGACTGAAGTGGTTTGCGGCATTACCGGTAAAATGTTGTGTTTGCATGCAACGTTTAAAGTGACACTGCTCAGTCCATAGTATGTCATTGTGCTTTAGTCATGTCATACATTTTCCGGATGCTTTCATAAATTATTAACCTTGCCATTTGAGGGCTTGCTGTTCCTTGCTGAAGGTTGACAATGCTTTATGTGCAAAAGAGCATAGAACAAATTTGCAGAAGAGTCCTGGGGCTAAAAGGTGTTATTTAATATTCATTGCCGACAAATGTCCTCCCTCTGTCAACAATTGGCATCAATTATTAACCAGTGCTGCTAAGTGGAAGCTATAGGGCATTGTCAGCGAGTACAACTTTTGAGTTATAATTGTAAAGTTTAGGGAAGAGTAATTTTTTATCTGACTTACGTACTTGCTCTTCATCTCCCTCTAGTGGCCACCTTTAAATCAGCCAGTATGTAGAAAGTCCCGGCAGAACAACTGCTAACAGATTAAATAAAACTCAACCGCTGTGTAGCTCTGTACAACCAAATGATGGCATTAGCACCTATGGCTCCCTTCATGTACCTGTATGTTGTATGTAGTCATACAAAAAAAAAAAAGGGGTTTAACGCATATGTTAACTCAAATGCTAAAATGTTATATCTTAGCTTTAATATGTTAATGTAATTTCACAAATTTTAAATCCACAGTTTTCATTAAATGAATCCCTTGTGATTCCGCCATGAAGGTCCTTGTTCAGACACTTCCTGCTATAGAGTGATGCGCTTTGGTCCTGTTTCTCAATTGCTCTCTGTTGTTGTCACCCTGTCACATGGTAATTCTAATGGAGACTACAAGTGGCACAACACACATGGTGCAGGCCTGTTCCATTGTTGTCACCATCGGGAAACCAGCCCTAAGAACTGCCATGCATCCATAGCTGGAGTACATGTGGACAAGAAGTGGCTGCAAAAGAGCCTTTGGTCTGGATACTCATCTCAGAAGGCCTCATGTATCATCATCCACTCCAGTCTGACTCCTCACACCAGCACCAACCCAGGTAGATGTATTGCCCTTTCTCAAGGTAGTTCTATTGTATCGCTGCTGCACACCTTGCTTTTGGCCCAACCTCCATCCCTGTACCAGCACTCACGCCACTTTCCATAGCACCTAATTCTTGTTATCACTGTTGGAGATAACAGACCCATAGTTCATTTCTGTTGAGGAACTGATAATAAACAGAACATAACCATAGAAGATAACACCAGCTTGATGAGCAGATAAGGAACTCACATCAACAGGAACAGTGTAACTCAACTCCAATAATTGCAACTTGTTCTTTCTAGCGCTCCTTTTCTTCTGGAGCCTTATTACGTATTGCATGCTTGGAAATCCCAGGTTCCATCCAGGGGAGCTTTCTTGAGCGATCACATGGTAGATTGGGATGTCTTCCACAAAAGTGTTCCTTTAGTGACTGCCTCCCCAGATTGACCTCCACATCCAGCAATGGACGCCCTTTCTTCTGATTCCTTCAATCATAGAGAAGAGTCTTTGTTACAATACTACAATGGGAAAATAGGTAAAAATGTTGTAAGTACTTCCTTACAAAAACACCACCTGTGGACAGGTAGTGGGAGCCCAACCATCTGTTATGGATCCACAAACCTTTGACCATAGAGTTTATTTGCTGTGCATTTATTGTTATATTCTGAGTGGGATCGAAACATTTTCTGGGATCGTCCTCATCTGATTATATACTGTATCTTATCCTGTACAATGCAGCTCAGAGCACCATCAGCAGAAGTATATTGGGTTTCTAATAGATAAAATTAATGTTTTCATAACCCAGGCTGGATAAAGTGCTGAAGGCCACAGAATAATAACTGCTTTTCTTAATACCGTGTTTCCCCGAAAATAAGACACTGTCTTATATTTTTTTGGCTCAAAAAAACACACTAGGTCTTATTTTCGGGGTAGGTCTTATTTTTATTTATGTAGAACAATCCACACTTATTCATGTACAAAAGTCTACATGTATTCATGCACAAATATATGGCGATCAGGGCATTCAGGGGTGCCGTACCTTTCCAAGAGCAATTTGCTAACCAATCGCTGGCCAGAATTAGTGAAGCGCACTTTCACTATGGATTCCTCACAGGCCGAGTGCATTTGATATCACTCCGCCTGTGACAGGAACCGGCGCTATAGAGGAGTCATTTGCTTATGCGGCTCTGCTCCCTCCGCTGCCGCCTCGCTTCCTCTAGCGCTGGCTTCGTTGGCACCGCTGATTCTCTCCTGCCTCTCCCGCGCGCTCTTCAAGTTCCCCCTTATGCCACCACCGGCCCTGGGAATGGTCACAGCTAGGTCTTATTTTCGGGGTAGGTCTTATTTTCGGGGAAACAGGATACATTAACCTAAAAATTCAAGCATTAGACCATCCATTAATGAACATGAATATTTGACGTTTCTATATTGTTTGGCCGGACTCAAGGCCAGAGCTCAGTGCTACCACCATGGCAACCCGGCGCATCGGCTTCAATAAAGTCTTTTCTGAACTTTGAACTTAATAAAGTGTTTGTTGCTCTTGTTCAGTTTGTTCAGTTACAGTAACATAATTTTATTTATCTTTATGCAAACAACCTTGCTTTATTATGGTGGTCTGATTACCAGGGTTGAATGATATCAAGAGATACAAGTCAGACACTGTCACTGCAATTACGACTATGGTTGCTACAGCTACAAATCCTCAGCCTGGCTTCTAATTGGGATTAAAGGTAACCCTTTATTAAAGCTGAACTCCGTCCTTCCCTTCAGTCTTGCACAGTCGCTCCGGCTTCTCTCCTGGACTGAAATTGCTTCCTCTGATGTCACTGCACACTGGGAGTTTCTCACAATGTGCATTAGAAGCTGCAGCAAGTCAGACAGAGCCCGCCTCATTTCCAGGCTGGAGGATGACCAGTATCATCTAGAGCTTTCCTCCCCAGCCTGACTGTCCCTGGCCTTTTTAATCATTGGATTTAAGATCTTTTAAACATGAATGCTAAGCATCACATGTGGGTGTTACCTAGTATGGTTTGCATGTATATGCAGCCTGCCTAGGAACGTCTACTTCTCTACACTGACATCCACCCATCAAGGCATATGGATGTTTGCATAACTCCTCCCAAGAGCCAGCTCTCTGCTTACATCAGAGCTGAGGGTTCTTGAGAGGCACGGTGAAGAAAACTAAATGAGTATAGACTATACAATCATTCACACCGAATGCAGTCTCAGGAAAACTACATTTAAGTAGTCACAGCACTTAGAGCAAGGGCGCTACACTTGCATTTGGAGATGATCTGATGGCCTGAAGTACACTATAGTGACAACAGTATTGGGACACCCCTCCAAGTTATTGGATTCAGGTGTTGAAATGTCCTTGCTACTAAATATTCTGCAGTCACCTGTTACTGGGTTTATAACAAAGTGGAAGCAACTGGGAACAACAGCAACTTAGCCACGAAGTGGTAGGCCACGTAATATGGCAGAGCGGGGTCAGCGCATGCTGTAGCGCACAGTGCGCAGAAGTCGCCAGCTGTCTGCAGAGTCAATAGCTACAGACCTCCAAACTTCGTGTGGCCTTCATATTGGCACAACAACAGTGCGTAGAGAGATTCCTTGAAATGGGTTTCCATGGCCGAGCAGCTGCATCCAAGCCTTACATCACCAAGTGCAATGCAAAGCGTGGGATGCCGTGGCGTAAAGCACGCCGCCACTGGACTCTAGAGAAGTGGAGACGTGTTCTCTGGAGTGACCAATCACGCTTCTCTGTCTGGCAATCCGATGGACGTGTCTGGGTTTGGCGGTTGCCAGGAGAACGGTACTTGCCTGACTGCATTGTGCCAAGTGTAAAGTTTGGTGGAGGGGGGATTATGGTGTGGGGTTGTTTCTCAGGGGTTGGGCTTGGCCCCTTAGTTCCAGTGAAAAGAACTCTTAAGGCATGAGCACACCAAGACATTTTGGACAATTTCATGCTCCCAACTTTGTGGCAACAGTTTGGGGATGGCCCCTTCCTGTTCCAACATAACTGCGCACCAGTGCACAAAGCAAGGTCCATAAAGACAAGGATGGGGGAGTTTGGGGTGGAGGAACTTGACTGGCCTGCGCAGAGTCCTGACCTCAACCCAATAGAACACCTTTGGGATGAATTAGAGTGGAGACTGCGAGCCCGGCCTTCTCGTCCAACATCAGTACCTGACCTCACAAATGGTCCAACATTCCCGTAGACACACTCCTAACCCTTGTGGACGCCTTTACAGAAGAGTTGAAGCTGTTATAGCGACAAAGGGCGGAGCCAACCCAATATTGAACCCTACGGACTAAGACTGGGATGCCATTTAAGTTCATGTGCGTGTAAAGGCGTCCCAATACTTTTGACAATATAGTGTACATGCATTGGAGCTGATCTGAATTCTGAAGTGCATGCAGTGAGGCTGATCTGAATTCTGAAGCGCATGCATTGGGGCTGATCTGAATTCTGAAGTGCATGCATTGGGGCTGATCTGAATTCTGAAGTGCATGCATTGGGGCTGATCTGAATTCTGAAGTGCATGTATTGGAGCTGATCTGAATTCTGAAGTGCATGCATTGGGGCTGAACAAGTTTTGTGCTTGTGTGTGTGCAAACAGTATGTGTGAAAACAAACTAAGACTACATTGTGCTATTGTTCACTGGCATGCCAGATTTCTATTGCTTGTGAATATGACACTTAATGTGGAAAAGGTTGCTGACCCCTGCCCTACAACACGGACATGTCATCTAAGAACAGGAACACAAGAAGAAGAATACAAAGCTGAGGTCCCACAAGTGTCATGCAGTATGTGTGGGAGGATAGTCATGCTGTTAAGTAATAATAATGAAGATAAGAGAAAGAGAAGGAAGCTCTATGATATAAATAATTAAATGATTCAGTTACATCAGATATAGAATAAACTCTGAGCTACAACTCAGGAGCATGTGACAAAAGTAATTGTCAGGGATTCAAGTCATCATTTGGTATGACACTGATGCTCACTGATTAGCAATGTGGCTTCACGGTTCTCAAGTCAATTCCCAAGTAGGCTTTGGCCTACTTTAAGAATTCCTAAACTGACCCTTTCACTTTAATAGAAATGCAGCTAAAAGGTCCCTTCAACAGAAGAGCGTACAGTATATATTCACCTCTCCAGAGGCCCATGCCTCCATCCTTCCATCCATTTCAGGGCTCCAACCTCCATAAGACTCTTCAGCATTTGAGACTTTTGGGAATGTTGGATGCTTGTGACCTCTATCACATATCGTGGTTCCATTCTTCAACCCCTAAGTCACTGCTGAGTCAGGTAGTGTCATAAAGGTAGGAGGATGGAATGAATGGTGGGGGACACAAGCTTCTGATAATCCCAAAATTGTGGAAAGGGGAAAAATCTTATGGAGGCTCCAATGCTGGAACGGAGGGAAGATAGGAAACACATGCTGTTGGAGAGGTAAGTATAAAAGCTCTTCTATTGTAGGGCTGTGTCATCTGCAGATTTATTAACCTGGCAGGGGGTTAAAGTGCTGTAACCAATAGAAACCAGCGATAATCACATGTATGAATTTGAATTGGTTGTGCACCTAAACTTTGGAATCTGTGCCCATAAAATGGCCAGCAGAGGGTGAATGACTATTCACTAGTACTGCCTGTAGGCTCTCTGCCACTGATAGGGTTGCCACCTGTCCAGGATTGACCCGGACAGTCCGGGTTTTGAATGCTGTGTCCGGGTTTCATGGCAGCAGAAACCCGGACACAAGATGTCAAGCAGACAGGGGCAACCAAAATTAAGATAAGGGCTACTGGTCCCCCACTGAAAATAGTCTCAACTGTGATATTTACATATGAACGGGTGGCGCTATTTACATATGAATAAGCTATGACTTATTCTCCCAAAAAAAATGTCTGCGCGTCGCTAGAGTGTTCGTGTTTCGCTTGAAAAAACGGTGGCAAGACTAGCCACTGATCTTTACACATTACAGCTATGAGGCTCAAAGTACACACATTTTCTCAGTAATCTGTCACTATTTTCCAGCTTTGTAGAAACAGGGTTTTGCTTCCTCATGTCAGACCTGATGACTGGCGATTTGATGACTGGTGGAGAGAATACTGAAGAAGCAGCAGATGAGGTAAACAAACCACAGATCCATAGAATGAATGAGGCAGAAGCACAGGAATCCTTGCACTGCAGGTCCTCAGGTACTTCCTCTCCATCAAGGAGCACAGTGAGCAACACAGTAGAGGCTTCACCAAATCTCACTCCAAACCTCCTGAGAGGCCGAGCAGTCAGAGGCAGCAATGTCTTAGATGATCTCAGACGCCAGACATACAGCTATGAGGCTCAAGATAGTGGAGTGTCTAGGCACAGGAAGCGCTCTGCTATTTTTAAGGAGGAACACAAAAGGTAGAATAAAAATGTTAAGACATAAAATCTTATTGAGTTCAGGTTCACCTTATAAGTGTAAATCTAGCCAAACTTTAGGGAAATAGTGGGGAAGGTTAGAAGCTCTGTAGAGCAGGGGCGTCCCGAGGTCGGGTGTCATCTGGAGCTGAGACCCGGTGACACCCTGCCGTGATGTCATTGCGCACGTGCGTGACGTCGCAGCGCATGCGCGATCATCTAATTGACTCCTGGCGGCGGCCATCTTGGTGATGGACGCCGGCAGAGAGAGGAGGGGGACGTTCACCCGGTGGGATCAGGTTCACCCGCCGGATCCCTTCTCTTCTGACACTGTCGTGCTCTCGGACCATGACCAAGTGCCCAACTTTTCATTGGGGGTGACACCAAAATGACTGTCAGTCATTTTGGTGTCACCCCTCCAATGGTGAGACCCGGGTGCAGGCCACACCCCCCGCACCCCCCTTTTTGTGACACCACACTGTAGAGTTTTTTATTGCTGTGTCCCTGCTGGGGAGGTTCATTCCTTCTATTTATCCCAGTCCATTGTCACCAGCACATTTTATGTTGTGTCAAAAGCTGAAAATTCAAATCTGTCTCACAGAGTCCCTGGTGGTTCTGACTTCTGGAATGTTAAAAGGACAGAGAGTTAAGGGCTGGTGCAGACTGGGGCGATCCCTAGATGCGTGTCCCGGGACCGCGTGATTGTGTGCTTTCAATGGGGTTCTATCCGTGCGGCAATCACTGAAAAAAGGTACATGTACCTTTTTACACGACATGCACCACGTGTTTTTGTCAGCCGCATTCGCGCGTGATTGCACAGGCGGATTCGCAGCGGGAAACCACGCTGGGCTGTCATCAGAAAAGAATGGCACTGCCAGCACGATTAGAGGTGGTGTGCGATTCCGTGACCGCGTGGCCATCTGCGTGGTTTCGTGCACGTTGGCTGCGCGGTCACGTATCGCCCAGGTGTGAACCTGGCCAAAGGGAGGGACACTACAGTCCGTAAGGGTCTTCCATTAACAGAACTCTGACTGCATCATATGTCATGCCTTGCAATGGTGTGTTTGCTGCCGTAGTTGCGCTCCACCACTCTTCAGGCACAAAATATCACCAGAAAAAAAATCAACATCCTACAACTGTCAATCACAGAGTGGCAAAGCTCCACCTCTTTCCTGAAGGCACAATCTATTTATGAGGACATATTGCAGAGGTTATTGGAGGAATATGGGATGGTAGTATACGAAATTGTGCTTTAAAATGCAGACTTTGTTTTAAGAATAGGCATTTTTCTAAAGAACAAGACAATGTAAGATATGAATTATGTTTTAGCTTTCCAAGGAAAAACATCTGATGTTGGTCATTTGATTGTGACGTGTTTTATGATTTTCCTTTTCCTGTACTTTGCGGCTCCTTATTGTCCGTACAAAACACGTGTGAAAGAACTTAGATATGAACTTAAAGGGGAACAGTAGTCTTTTTGAATATATAGTCCGGGGTATGCAAGAAAAATACATGTGCACACATTAGAAAAAGAAAACATTTGCATTCATTATATTTTTGCATAGCACTGCAACCGGAAACAATGCAATGCTCTGGCTCCTGCAGACTTTTCCTCCCAGCCCCTGACTATAACAAGGTACGGACTTTTAGCTAAAGGACGGGAGGAAGTATGAATGGACTACAAGTGTGGTATTGTCATCACTGTTCTGCTTCTGGCAATTAGAATTGATTAGTTTATATACCTACAATATCAAAATCAGCAACAAGATGGAGCTGAAGAGAAAACCTCTCAATTTGCAGCAGCTTAGACTGTTTTCCTTTAATAAGAAAATACTCCCAACATCCCTCTGCCCAAAGAGAAAGAAACAGGTGCATCTTGGGAGTTCAGATCCTATTTTAGAAAGAGGAAAGAAGAATCCGCTGCCAGGTGTCTGGAGGAAAGAGCCCAAATCCTTGTTAGGCAGCATCGCTGGTATAGACGTACTTGTTTCTCTCAATATTTGTGAGCTGACTCTATATTTACTTGTTTTATATACTGATTGTATGTTTCTATGTTCCAGTTTCTATGTTCTTTTACCAGTTTTACTCACCCTGTTTTGTTATTAAAGCATCAAGATTTCACTCAGCCTGGCTTATTGCAGAATAGGAGGGTTTAGCTGCATGTTGAGCCATGATCAGGCCACAGGGCAACATATAGCGGGGACGGAACGATCAGACTTAAGCTGTATTGAGAAATAAAAGTCTCTCTACTGCGGCGGCAGACGGGACTTATAGTTTCTCCATTCACAGATCCTGTGGCTTTACATACACTTTAACATGTACATCCACAAGGAAAGAGGAGAAGGAGGAAATGACTGAAGCCTTTAAATACATGAAGGGTATGAACAAGGTTCAGGAGGGCATTATTTTCAGCATGAAGCTGAGATCAAGAGCATGGGCTCGTAACAGCAACAAAGTCCAACTGTAACATTAGAGAACAGTATTTTATTGGAAGAGTAGTGGATGCGTGGAGCAGACTTCCAGCATAGGTAGTGAGTCAGTCAACAGTAAGTGAATTTGAAGCGGACCCATTAGACAAATCTTCTCTCAGCTGCTCTGTCCTCCTTTTGCTTTACAAAAACATATAGATGGATTTTTTTGTTATACCTTTTCCAGTAGTGTGACCCCCCACGTCCTAATTTCCTGTCTAGGCAAGGATGACATAGTACTCACTCCTGGGGTGCCTCCTGGGGCATGTCTGGGGTGTGTTTTAGTGAGGGGCTGTGAGTTTCCATCATGTGTACTGAGGGTCTGTTTCAAGTATTTTGGACCTGGACCAGACCTGTGGCATGTCTGCGCATGCTCAAAATTCCCCTGTACCTGTGAAGACATCCCTCAGGTCTCGGCCAAGTCCAAAATAATTGAATATCTGCAGCATATTTGTACATTAGCATAGTCCACCCATGCGCGCGCAGACATCCTACAGGTCTCAACCAGGTCCAAAATACGTGAACACCTGCTGCATGCCTGCGCATGAGCGGAATCCCCCCTTACCTGCGCAGACATCCTTTAGGTCTCATCCAGGTCCAAAATACGTGAAGACTTGCTGTATGCCTGCGCATGAGCGGAATCCCCCCTTACCTGCGCAGACATCCTTTAGGTCTCATCCAGGTCCAAAATACGTGAAGACTTGCTGTATGCCTGCGCATGAGCGGAATTCCCCCGTACCTGCGCAGACACCTCTCAGTTTACAGCCAGGTCCAAAATACTTGAATATCTGCAGCATATTTGTACATAAGCAGAATCCACCCGTGCGCGCGCAGAAATCCTACAGGTCTCAGGCAGGTCCAAAATACATGAAGACCTGCGCATGAGCGGAATCTCCCCTTACCTGCATAGACATCTTTCAGGTCTTAGCCAGGTCCAAAATAATTGAAGACCTGCTGCATGTCTGCGCATGTGCGGAATCCCCCAGTACCTGTGCAGACATCTCTCAGTTTACAGCCAGGTCCTAAATACTTGAAGACCTGCTGCATGACTATGCATGCACAAAATCTGCCCGTACCTGCGCAGGCATTCTACAGTTCTCAGCAGGTCTGGCATATTGGAAGACCTGTTCATACCTGTGCATGCGCAGAATCCCCCCATGTGTATTCAAACATCCTACAGGTCTCAGCCAGGTCCAAAATACTTGAAGGCCTGCGGCATGCGTGAAACCTAATGGCACAAACACAGGAACATCAACAGCCATAGACAAAGTGGCCTGTGAGGTCATAGATATAAAATCATAGCCAATGGGATGCAACTACAGTACATCTATATCGAAGATATGCAATAAAAGTATCCCAAACGGTATGCGTCACTTTTTTGGGGACTGTAGAAGGACAGGCCACATTGACATAAAACAATAAAACACAAGAAGGGGAGGGACACTAGGAAATCTTGACAACGAGGAGTCTCAAGGTGGCAACGTGAGAGCAAGTTAGCGCAAGGTAAACTTCAGCTGCAAGGTAGACACTATTGTCTGTAAAAACAGTTTGGATGTATACACTTATACTTTAATAACCACTAATTGAATTATTAGCGCTGTATATCCGGTTGATATACTCTAGACCTACGGGTTTATAGTACGGCAGCTTTCAATTAAACACTTTGTTACACTTTAATAGGAGTTATCACTCGTCACACGAGGTGTACATTTCACTCTATTTTATCTAATTTAATCACTCTACGGATATTCAACATAAACGTATTGGTAATAGTTCAATATGTTTACTATCTGAACTTTTTAGCGCTGCTCATCCAGCTAAACTAAGGTAGACAACGCTGAACTCCTTCAACTAGTAACCATTTTTTTTTTATTCTCCTACAAGGACATTTATTAGCTAGGGGGGAGTTTTAACTAGGGAGGGTGAAGTTCCTCTTTAAACATGCATGGGATAAACACAGGTCTATTCTTAGACAAAAAGGTTAAAGAAAAATTTTTACATTTTTTTTAAAAGACCAAAAATAACTCCCTTACCCCCCTAAGGGGCAGACCCGATGGACCACTTCCTCTTCTTTCTGCCATCACTCTTCTATGTTTCTCTATGTAATATAAACACTTGCAAAATGAAAATAGCTCTGCTTCTTCTTCTGAGCTCGCAGTCATGAATAAAGTCTCTGTAGCTGCTGTTTCTCCGCCAAAGCCGAGACTGATCACTGTACACACCTCCCAGGCCCTCCCTTTTCCTGTCCTGACTATATAACTCCAGTATTGTACAGTAATCCTGCATGTTGCTGGCTGCTAGCAGGGACGTAAGTCAATCGCTCCGTTTGCAAACTTCTTGTGCGCTGTCCAGGGAAGAGCCATGGTTCTCTATCACAAGGAGTTTGAGAACGCCGGCGCAAAATCCGGTCTGCAGATATGGAGGATAGAAAAAATGGACCTGGCTCCGGTACCGGAGAATCTGAACGGCAATTTCTTTGTGGGAGATGCTTATATCATTCTGCATACTATCACGAAGAACAACAGCAAATTCTACAACCTGCACTACTGGCTCGGTAGGTGGAAGTGAGCATTTGGCTCGCACTTGTTTCTTCATGTGTGTTGTGATATAGCTGACTTACTGCACATGAGGTATAATGCACCTGTCACCTGTAAATATGGAGGTGTGTCGGTGTTAATACGCTTTGTCAGCATGTCAGTACTGGTTGTAAACCGTGTAGAAAGATTTATTGCAATCAGACTCTGTACTACTGTACAGAAACATTGGGATTGATTTATAAAGCAGACTTTCTCAGGTTTCGTGGAATCCTGAAGTTCCTTTAGAGATTTCGATGGAATTCCTTGAGCAGTAAGCAACGGTATGACTGCTTTCCCATCTGATGGTGCCTACATAGTTCTAGTACTGACAACACTCAAGGGGGGGCAGTACAATGACCAGAAATGTAACAAGACATTTCACAGACCACCAGTGTAAAGGGGAACCTCTCCCAACGGCCACTGTTGTAAGGGGACATCTCTTCTACTTACCACCAATGTAAGGTGGCATCTCTCCCATTGCCCATTATTGTAAGGGGGCACCTCTTCTACTGACCACCAGTGTGAGGCGGGTACCTCTCCCATTGACTATTATTGTAAAGGGACATCTCTACTACTGACCACCGATGTAAGGTGGCACTTCTCCCATTGGTTACTATTGTAAGGGAACATCTCTTCTACTGACCACCAATGTTAGGTGCCACTTCCCAGTAGACTCTGTACTACTGTACAGAAACATTGGGATTGATTTATAAAGCAGACTTTCTCAGGTTTCGTGGAATCCTGAGGTTCCTTTAGAGATTTCAATGGAATTCCTTGAGCAGTAAGCAACGGTATGACTGCTTTCCCATCTGATGGTGCCTACATAGTTCTAGTACTGACAACACTCAACGGGGGGCAGTACAATGACCAGAAATGTAACAAGACATTTAACAGACCACCAGTGTAAAGGGGAACCTCTCCCAAAAACCACTGTTGTAAGGGGACATCTCTTCTACTTACCACCAATGTAAGGTGGCATCTCTCCCATTGCCCATTATTGTAAGGGGGCACCTCTTCTACTGACCACCAGTGTGAGGCGGGTACCTCTCCCATTGACTATTTTTGTAAGGGGACATCTCTTCTACTGACAACCGATGTAAGGTGGCACTTCTCCCATTGGTTACTATTGTAATGGAACATCTCTTCTACTGACCACCAATGTTAGGTGCCACTTCCCAGATTGGTCATTATTGTAAGGGAACATCTCTTCTACTGACCACCAATGTTAGGTGCCACTTCCCAGATTGGTCATTATTGTAAGGGAACATCTCTTCTACTGACCACCAATGTTAGGTGCCACTTCTCCCATTAGTCACTATTGTAAGGGAGCATCTCTTCCACTGACCACCAAAAAATGAGGTCACCTCTCCCACTGGCCACTCTTGTAAGGAGGCACCTGTTCTACTGACCACCAATGTAAGGTGGCACTTCACCCACTGGCCATTATTGTAGGGGAACACCTCTTCTACTCACCACCAATGTAAGGGGACATCTCTTCTGCTAACCACCGAGCTAAAGCTCACTATACGCCTTACAATCTGATTGCACAATTTCCTTTAGATTTACCAACAACTATGTAGTGCGGGGGCTTGCCTGACTGGAAGCAGATTGATTGTATAGATTAGATAGGTGTTCATATTACATAGTTTGGGTAAATCTAATGTTTATTGTACAAAGATTGTATGGTCAGATTGTAACGTGTGTGGTGACCATAAGGGTGCTGACCACCAATGTAAGGGGGTACCTCTCCCACTTGCCACTATTGTAAAGGGGGCGCCTCTTCTACTGACCACTAATGAAAAAGGAAAACTTTTCTCTGATTTCAATGTGTAAGGGGGCACTGATCACTGATGTAAAGAACACTTTTCCACTGACCCTCAGTGTAGGAGAAGCACTATGCCACTGACAACCACCAATAAAAAAAAGGGCGTTTCTCCACTGACCACAAATGGAAAGGCACAGTAATATTTTTACTCTCTTCCTGCCCACCCTGGGTGTTACAAACCTTATTCCTTAATAATAATATCTACAACTTTTTGATCATGCTAATATACCATGAGCCGTAGATATAATAACCTTTTAGGAGGGGTTACCTGAGACTGGAAGTTTATTTTAAGGGTTCCCGTTAAGAATTGCTGCACTACAAGAATAGACACTTGTTCACTTAGCTTAATAAAGAGGTAGAAGCTGTGTTCACTTTGAATATCCAATCATGTGCAAGGAAATAAAAAAAAGCAATACTTTTTCCTTCCATGGAATTTCATTATCAGTTATGTAAGTGAACACAGCTTAACTATATTCAACAAGCGAAGTGAATATTCGCTTTGCAAATCGGTCTTCACACCTTAAATCAGCACCACTGCATCACAACGTGGTCCGTAAAAAAATGCTTTTGTGGTTTTGGCGAAAAGTCTTTATAAAACGGGACAGCATATCAGCCAACCAGGCTCGGATGAAATATGATTAACCATTGCCAGCTGCTGCTTCTCATTTCCAACTTGCATGTTACAGCCTTGAAAGTTTTTACAGGATCCCCAAAGCCATACAAAACCCGCACAAAGGCGCAGTCCCTAGCTCCAAGCTATCTGAGTTCCCAACCCGAAACATATATGTAGAAATGCAAACATTGAGAGAAGGTATGTGTTGGAGGTGGCCCCATGTTCCCCAGGTGCAGAGACACACCAAAAGCCCAGCCTTATTCAAGACAGATGAAGACCCAGTAGGCAGCACGGTGGCTTAGTGGTTACCACTGCTTCCTTGCAGATCTGGGGTCCTCATTTTGAATGCTGGCCAGGACACTATATGTATGCAGTTTGCATGTTCTCACTGTACTTGCATGGTTTTCTTCCCACGTTCCAAAGGTATTCTGGTAGGTTAATTGGTTCCAGTCTAAATTGGCCCTAGCATGTGCATGTGAGATAGGGACCTTAGATAGTAAGCTCCTTTAGGGCAGGGACTGATGTGCATGTAAAGTGCTGTGTACATTGTCCGTGCTATATAAATACCTGTAATAAACGCATAAGACCCCCAGTGTGTGTCTTCAACAAAACCAGATCAGAGTCACAGTTGTCTAATGAAGGGTGTCCTGTGCACCTGAAATGTTGCAAAACTGTTGTGTCTAAATGAATAGTTGAATCATTCTTTGGCGTGCGGGCCACACTTCCTTTTTTTGCACCAAAACCAGACACCCAAAACCACACTAAAAGCGTAGGTCCTACAGAAAACACTAAAAAATTTTGTTTGTGACATATTCTGAGCGGAAAGGAGAACAGCAATTACTCGTGTTCACCCCCACCACCCTGTTTGCCATTCTGAAGTTGCTAGCTGCCAAGAAGAAATGCAAAATATGACCAGAAATACAATCAGATGGATGCCGTGCCAGATCCGCTGAGGGGGGGCCATGTGGGGTTGGTAGAAGTAAATCGGGCAGCTTTGTGGAGACTCACCACAGTTTACTTTTATCGGAGAGATTGTGATTGACATACTGCTGCCTTCCATTGTTAAAATCTATTAAGCGCCATGACAAATAACATACGTCACTGGCAGTCAAAGAGTTAAACTGGGTCAATAAATTGTAAAAAAAAAAGAGAAATGGGGAATATCACTTTAAGCTTTTATAGGAACTAAGACAACAAGGGGAGGGGGCTGCCCGAGAATTGTCAGGGGGGAAATTAGAAGTTGGGTTAGACAATAACATGGAAACATCAACACACAAACATAGCACACAGTTCCCGATTGTTCCATTTTTTTTGGAATTTGTGGACTGAGTTCCCCTTGTGTCTCTTTTGTGTACAACTGTCTTTCCTTTTGCAGGACTGATGTGTAGATCTGTGTGATACAGTGTCTTTGAAGCGGACTTTTACCCATATCTTTAAAATAACAACAAACACACCTTTATTTAGTAATAACCATCTACAAAACACATACTTCTAGATAATTGCCGGCTTTGTATTCTTTGCAGACCTTGTTTCTCTTTTCTTCCCCAGTCTTCTGGCAGCGGCCATGTTTACTGAGGGCAGATTACTATCTCTCCTTTTACTTCCGGGATTTCGTGGCACATGTGACTAGACATGTGACTAGGACATGTGACCATGCACATTATCTCAGGGGAGGAAAATGCCTTTCCCTGAGATCTCGTGAGATTACAGAGGAGATTTCCCAAGCAATGCTCTGCTGACAAGGCAATCCCAGTGTGTGTTGCTTTGGCAAACTGAAGTAATTTTGCCCTTTGAAAACAGGAAGTGAATGCTCTGCAAGTATAAGTATCTCATAATCACAGCATTTTACACCTGACATGTCTATGTTATTATCATTCATCATACATAGAGGGATGCATTGGGAGAATTTGATTTTTGAGTGTAAAGGTCCGCTTTAAGTGTTCCTGGTTTTTTTGACAGAGGAAAGGAATCACCAGCACTCAATACTATCAATAAATATGTAAATATATAAATGTGTATATATGTAAATGTGTCTCATTCTTTTGCCCTGATGAAGGGACCCTGCGTGGCCCCGAAACATTGGCTTTCCTCACTGTGACGATGTGTCTAATAAATGGACATATTTATTGATAGTATTGAGTGCTGGTGATTCCTGTCCTCTGTCTTGTGTTTGCACGGCACCATCCGTGGCCATCACTGCAAGCACCATCTTCTATATAGGCTGGGAGCGTTGTAAGGAGTGCAGAGGGACTCTCCATCTACCTGTTTTTTTTGGGGGGGGAAGAATACCATTCTCGGCAGTACTTTTATATTCTGGAATACTACTAACTTCACAACCATAACAGAATTTGGTTGCTGTGGAAGAAGACAAGCAGTAAGATTCCTTTTCTTGTAGTGCCCTTTGCTGATGCTAACCCACGCAGATGTGTGTAATTTCCGGAGAAACCTCCAGCTATGAAGAAACTAAAAATCCCACCATGTCTCTGCCTCTGGGAGTCATGTCTGTGGGTGTCATAGTCTTGCAATGCCTCATGGGGCTT